AAAATAAAGAAAATCAGAAAGGTTTACTTAAAACATTCAGTTTCCTTAATTTTTATTAGGAAACTGAATACAATCACTCCCTAAGGCAGGGTATGATTCAATTCAGATCTCCTACCCACAGGATACTACAGCTGTACATTGGGAACATCTTGAGTATAGTCATAAGCTGGTAAGAGGAGCCACCTTAAGTATAGAAAATAGTTCTTGGAATGGCAGACTTGGCTGGGCAGAGGAACTCCATCTGGAGGTAGGAAATTCTTCCGTAAGAGATTCAAACTGTCAGAGAGGTCTCCTTGGTTGTAACTCTCAAAGGAGTAAGAGCTAGCTCTATATCTGAGCTGAATATCTGAAGGGATAAACTGGACTTGGTCCTGAGATTTCATGTATAAGCTTGTATTGTATTCTGTCACTGCTTGTGGTGTTTTGATCATGTTTACATGTAATGTAGTAGTAAAAGGGGCCAGTGCTTGATACAATGGTAAAATTTCATACTGAAAAACATGGAGAAGCAGATTTGGATCTAATAGAAGCCACTTCGGCAAAAAATGCCAAGGATTTGGTCCTATCTGGTCGACCCCTCCTAAGACCCCGGATAGCTAGGACCAAAGTGGAATTTAAAACCTGAGTTCTAGATTACTAAATTATATCATGAGAGTCTGTCTATGGGCTCAAATCTTGAATTTCCTAGTCTTTATTGGGGGACCTACTCACTGCTGCTTCTGCTCCTGGATGGGTTTTTTCAGAGGCTGCTTTGACATGTCATCATCATCATCCTTGCCTTATCCCAAGTTCCCAACCATATGGAGTCAGCTACATGAATCTTGTTTTTCCATACAGGGGATGGGACAAATTTTATTTTGTTTATTTATTTTTTTTCAACACGAAACTACAAAATTTATTCAGATGTAAATGCAGAGACCATAATTTAATAATGAACATGGCACTGAATAGAGTGAAATAATGGAATATACATCATACAATGAGCTGACCCAGAAGGTTGGAAGAAGGCTTTGTTGAGTTCAGTTGAATTTAGTTTAGTACATGGAAAGGTGGGAGGGATTACTATTACTTGGTTTATGCATTTTGTAATGTTTTGAACTGGTTTGTTGTTGAAGAATTTTGCTATTCTTACTTTTGGAATATGCTATTTGTAGATTTTCCTAGAGATTCTTTGAAATTGTTTATTTTTTGGGGTAATATAGTTTGAGTTGTGTGTGTAGATTAAGGAGAACAATTCTTCATGGTTGGTCAGGGGTACCGTATGGTAATGGTAGATGAAAAGTACTGGCATCCARTGCCTGATGAGTAGCATACAACTAGAAGGTTTAACAGTCTCCTGTGAAGCTAAAGGCACATCTGCATATTATTCTCAAATTCAGCATCCAAAAACTTAAATTTCTTATTTTTATTATGGCTTCACCACAATGTTGTCTGCTGTCTACCATCAGGGATTGCAATCAGAACTATGAATTTTGAAGGGCTCAACAGAGGAACATCACATCTGAAATAGCTCT